GACTGTCCCTCCTAAAGGAACAGAAGTAGCTGGTACTTCCTCAGGTAAATTGGAAAAACTTTGATTTGCTGAAAGTCTAGAATTTTGGGTTCAAATTTCCACTTAAATAAAAATTAAATGTACAGTGTGAAAGTCATTTTAATTTCTATAATTCTGCTATTCACAGATGCAAATATGATGATGCTCACTTAGAGAGCTTGTTGTTCATTTGCACACTCCATGCTCTCCTGGTTTTCCTACCTCTCTCATTGTTCCTGCACCATTTCTTTTGGTTATCAAAGCCTTTTGGTGGATCCTTCTCCCCCTTCCACTTTCCAAAGGATTCCCACAGCGCTCTGACCTTGGCCCATTCCTCTGATTCCTCTCAATAGGAGAGTGACGTGGCCAATACCGTGGGTAAGGAATATTATTGTACGGGCTGATTGATGGCAGCTCTAATGAGAGGGATGGGGGCAGGGACCTCCTTTTTGTTGTGTGGTCTACAGCGCTTAGCACAGTGGGGCCCTGAGTCATGACTTGAGCCCTCACGCGCTATTGCGACACAACTAACAACACTACTGTTGGCTGCAGTAGGGGGTGGCATGTGAAAATCTTCTATTGCTCTATGGCATCTAAGCACTGATCATTTCAGTGGCACAAACTCTGTTTCTTAGGTGAAGATTTTCCTGGGACAAAGACCGTTAGTCTTCAAATCCATATAGTTATCCCAAGGATGAGAATTCAGGAATAGATAATTTACAGCTGAGAGAATTAGCTCTTGGAATGACAATAGGGGTAATGCACCTAATGCGTGTGGATCTTCTGCAGACTTGACGGTATACCGAACAGAGAGAAATATTAGAGAAAATCAAGTGGGTAAAACACTGGGAAGGGGGTTGACGCTAGCAGTTATTCAGTCTGACTGAATTTTCACTGGCATGCTTGGGGGCTTTTCTTCAAATGTCTTGGGGAGAGATTCTGAGCAGTTGTGGATTTGATTCTTTAAAATTCAATATGTTTTGTCCTGTGCTTGGCAAGACAAGTTTCACTCCAGTCTGTTTGTGGGCATTTACGTCTTTACATGCCTGGAATCTCTGCCGGCTTTTTGGTTTTTAAAATAGTCAGTTGTGTGGAGAGCACCTCAAGAATTTAATAAAACTTTCCTTTCTGTACAGGTTCTGCGCTGAACACAGCTGGCAACTCTGCTGAGCCTGGAGTTGAAGGTGAGCTACTGAGGTGGGGAGAGAAAACACTTGAGCTGTTAGACAGGGTAGCGCAATGCGTGTGGTGAGCAGGGAAGCCTGGCTGTAGGGAGCTTCAGAACTGGAGCTGGCCACATCCCTTCAATTGTTTTTCAAATCTATTACACTAAGGAACCCCTGAATGTTGCTGATCCATGTGGCTGAATTTCGTGCATGACATTGGAATCACATTGAATTTCTGCCAAAAATAAATAAATTTAAATAAAAATTCCCTTCTAGTCAGTAACTTAGGGAGACCGCAACTATACATTTGTTTCTTAATCAGCTTAAATTTTTTGTTTTTTGTTTTTTTCCTAACTCTTTTTTCTCCATTAGCCAGTTTCCTGCCTGGTTTTTAAAATGTTTTTCATTGAGCTTTATTTATACAAAAACAAAAAAGAACCCAAACTGTGTGTTTCTGCCAACACTGAAGCCATGAGTAAACCTGAGTCCTACACCTACAGTTATGATGAACAATATGGGTACAAGTGAATATGTACATTCCATTTGTCATACTAACATTCTTACATTTGAGACTATAAATTTGTCAGTGATGTATTTCCTAAGGGAAATAGATTCAGTAATTCCAGGAGCCATTGAAAGGCCACTTCAGAGCACTCTTTGCTACTATTGTAATCTTTCATACAATTTCCCTAAAAATCTTAGTCTCAGCATAGCATTTACATGAGTCTGATTTCTAAATGCAAAACTCACTGACATCAGTGATTGTGGTTCTGTTCAATCTGTGGCAAGGAATTACCGATTTAATGTCTAACCAGCAGCCAGGGCCGGCTCTAACTGTTTTGCAGCCCCAAGCAAAAGAAGAGTGCCGCCCTCCATAGCACCGCCATAACACACACGCTCAGCACCGCGCCGCCACCCCCACCCCCCCGCGGAGCGCCACGCCGCTGAACCCCCCAGCCTCCCACAGAGTGCCGCCAAAGACACTGCCCCCG